CCCCCCCCCGCCACCCGGTTACTCGGCCAGTGTAAGCAGGAGCAAGGTCACTGCACCTCTTCAAGGGCAGAGCTCTCAGCTCCTGCATGCTGATTTATTGGAGGCTCTGAGTAGCCTGGCAGCCGCAGAGCGGGAGGCTGCCTCTCAGTGCAGGCTCTAGGAACCATGCATTTAAAGAGACAAATATTCTGATTGCTCCTCCAGCAGAAACAGTTCCCTTTTCAAAGGGCAAAGCAACAAGACCTTGTCCACAGCTATCAAAACTCCTCTGAAAATCTCCCCATTTTCAGGAGAGGGTCAGTTCAGCTCGCAGGGAAATCAGTGGGAGTTTTGTTGATGTCTCTGGGAGCAAAATCTGTTTATAGCCCTTACCTTCTTAAAACAAGTTCCAAGCTTTCTCCATGACTGAAATGTCCTGGCTGGGAGGTTGTTTTGCCCCAATAAGAGATGGGAACAGGATTTTTACAACAAAATGGGGGGGAAAAACCCTTTGTCTAGGAGAACGGGAAGGGGGGTTTTTTGTGAATAAATTTTCCAACAGTTAAATCAGCATATGCAAAATGCCCTAGTGTGCCAGCAGCCCAGCTGTGTGGAGCAGCAAACAGGGACTGTTTCTGGACTTTGTCTTGGCTGGAATTTGTGCTGCATGGGCAGAAGGGCCAAAGGTAAGTTTGTGCAACCCTTTTCAACCCAGTTCGGGCAGCCAGGGCTAGTCCTCTGTGTGACCTGTGGCAATTTAGGCAAGAAAATCATGGGCTAAGGCAGGCTTTGCTTTACCTAATTTCAAGCAACAAAACTAACGTAAGTGTTCAAAGGTAGGAACGTGGTCACTCTAAACTGCTGCAGGCAGGAACCTCTGGAGGATACGAGCCCTTTAGACACCCCTGACTTTGCAGAGAAGCCAGAGGCATCCAGACTCTTGTGGCCCCCTTCAATTCCTTCAATGAACCCACCTAAATCCTTCAATTATCACCTGTGCATATAAAAACAGTGGTGATCCCAGGTCAGAGTAAAAGATTATCCAGCCCACTGTCTTGTCCCTGAGAGTGGCTAGTGATGGACACACGGGGAAATGAAGAATAGGGCAAGGACGTATTGATACTTCCTTGGACACATTCTCCTACCACTTTTTGTCTCAGGATCTTCCCCAACTGGGATAAAAAAACCCACATAATTTTAGTTAGAAAAATAACTGAGTTTGATGCACTCGTTTATACTGTGCTGCAAATAATACACATACCAGGGGAACTGCAAACTAAACAGCAAAATTAGTTTGATTCCCTTTTGTCAAAGCCATGAGCTCTCTGGCCAAATGTGTCTTTTAATGCTCAGTTAATGAAAGTCCAAATAACATACGAATGTTACCATCTAGGAACCATATAATTTAGACAGATCTGACCAAATACCCTTCTCAGTAGCAGGAAAAGTAATATGGAGATGAGAAATCCCAGGCTGGAACCCCACAAGATATTACGCAGGCATGTTTGTATGGAGAAGCTGAGGGGTAAGGCAGTAAGGGCATATGTGAAGGAAAAAGTACTTAATTCTTTGTGGGTTTTTAAATTATTTATTATTATTAATTATTGTTGTTGTTGTTGTTATTATTACTATTACTATTATTATTGCTGATGCTTTTGAAAATCCTCTCGTATAAGTTTGTGTCCAGGAGTTATTTTACATTAAAAACAAAGTATTATGGGCACCATTTGGCTGCTTTTTACCTTCTGTGGGTGTGATGCCAGTTTTGCAGATTTTAGTATCACCTAGGTTTTGCTGAAAACTCTTTCAGCCTTGCTTTCTCTGTTCTCCTCCATGCAAAGTGATTATTTTGTTGAGATATCTATGCTGTAGTGCACCAAACTCACTAGCCTAGAAGCTATTCTTTCTCCTAGGATGATGGTCAGCCTGAGCTGCACTACATAGCTCGGAAGCTCCATGTATTCTCAGTCTTTGATTTTCTGTGTCCTCTCATCCTTCTCTGCTGTATATAGAGCTGGCCAGAAGATACAGCACCTGAGAGGCCTACGTGCAGGGGAGCTGCACACCTATAGCAAAAACAAAGCACAAAGATATGTATTACAAGTGGAGAGGGTGTTCTGTGCCAGATCTTGTGCAGAAGATAGCCTTTCTGATGTCACGTGTAAAAGAAATCTGTGTGCTGCCTTCAGCTAGCACTACAGGAACACTGCAGACCTAGAAGTGGAGCAGCTCTGGGCAAGAAACAGGATGCCTATCAACAGATATTCCAAGGATGCTCAAGGTTGCCTGCAATATTTGTTGTGAGTGAAAACAGTCAGTGCATGCAGAAAGGTTGAATGAGCACTCCCAGCACTCATTCCCAGGGACCCTTTGAGAGTTTGACTTGTGAACTACAAGCCTCCTTGACAGCATCAGCCCTCTGCAGAGAAAAAAAATAATATATATTTTTAATTATTTTACACCCTGCACTTCAGCAAGCAACAGGCAACAAAAAAGCCCTTCCAGATTTTGAGAAGGACTTGAAGAAAAGGACACTGCAGTAAACTGTGCTGCAAAAACAAGTGTCATGTACAGCACTGACAGCTGCTCACATAGGCATTGACCCTGTGATGGACAATGTAGCTATAAAGGGGCTGGAAACATACAGGGATTCCAGGCCACATCAGACTGTACTCCAGTTCATACCAGAGCACAAGAACCCAGTAAGTAACATCTCTTCCATCACCAGATGATCAAGTATCACTTAACTAGTATCAGCCACCCAAAATACATCTCAAGGGGATGGTGAGGGGAAGATGGATGAGTTTCACAACATGAACAAGCTCAGAAAGGATATTCCTATGTTGTTTTTCAGAGTATAGACTTCAGAGGCTAAAGCAAAGGTGGCAAAACAGAACTTCTCAAAGCCTGTCATAATATGAAGCTGCCTGAAGCAGTCTGTCTCACGTGTTGCTGGCCTTTACCTGTTGTATGCCAGGTGCTTGCTAAATATCAGCAGAGAAAAGAAACTCCTCCAGCCTGAGCAGGCAGGCTTGGAGCCCTCTAACACAAACGTGAACATGGCCCAGTGATACCTTCCATAGGGAGCTCATCGTTTCCTCTTAGTCCAAATGAAGCAGAACTGAATTAAAAAAAGGGGGGTGGGGGGAGGAAGTCAATAAGTCAATATTGAATCTCAAAGACAAAGAAATCCTGGCTAACCTCCAAGACCATGTTTCTGAAGCTCTGCACAAGGAAAGCTGAATTAGCAAAAGGACAAAGCCTGAGAGGAGTCAGACTCTACTTCTCCTGTGCATGGAACAAGCACATCTCAAAGGACAAAATATAGCCCTCACTTCTAAGGTGCAATTTCATGCAAATGAAACAGAGACATTCACTTCTTGGTGGGCAGGTCTGACTGGGAATTTCCTTAAGGACCTTTCACCGAACTTGTTATTTGAATCAGTGTTTGACTGATTATGCACTCTTAATTTCAGCTGAAAGCAAGGGCAATCAGTGTCTGGGACAGCCAGGATCTGTCTGCTGGTCGTTTACATAACCGAGCGTGTTAAACTCACAGTATTGAGCAGGTTCAGAATAAAGCAAAACAGGCTTCATGTTGTTCAGGTTTTTTTCTCTCCTTGCCTGCTCAGCCACTCTCCACTCATCTTCATGACTGCTAGGCAGATTAAAGAACACCACACACAGCACAGCAAAATACTGTGGGCTGCAAAAGGTTTTAGCAGAACGCTTTTTCCATGTCATTCTAGTAGCTTTTTTTTTTTCCTCCACTAAAGTAAAATTAAATCAAGTCTATTTACAGTTTCTACAATGCCTGTGTCAACTGCTAGATCCCTGAATTTGCAAAGAAATGGCACACTAGGCATATGCCTGCAAGATTCTGCTGAATATGAAACCCATAAACATATGCTTATCAATATTAATTCTTTTGCAGATATAAAACATGAATTTATTAGCATAATCTAGTGGCTAACACAATGTCTAGTCTCCCATCACTGCCACAAACCTGTATGTCTTAAACTGGGATATTAAAGGAAGCTGAAAGGATGCAGCTAAGATACAAGGTGTTTATTTCCTCCTGAGTCAGGCAAAGCCAGAAGGAGATGACAATGGCTAATTTGGCACCAGGCCCACTACCTGTGGAGCTGCCTGAACTAGAGGAGATGCCCAGAAGATAACATATGGTCTCTACACTGGATGTACATTACATCATCTCTTGAATCAAGACCAGTTCTCTTCCAGTTACGGGTCACATACATAA